TCCATTCCTTCAGCTCCTTTCTTACTGTGCCTTTGAGTACTCCGAGAGCTGGTTCGGAACCAAGGTATTCTGTGGATGACCCCTGCATGCATGTTCGTAATCGTAAGCCTTTTGTCCTGGCACCCAAATCAATGTGACGTTATTTTGGTCCGCCAAGCTGTTGAGTTCTTCTCGGCATTCTATTACCAGTGCAAAGTTTGCTCCTGTGCCATTCTTAGTCTTTGACCTGTCCGAGTAACAGGTCTGGTCTTTGAGATTGCAGAGTGCATGTTTGTTTTCTCATTCCCCCCTTTCACTAATTAGGACTTGGAAGAAAGTCGGGTGAGTATTTGGGAAGTGCATAGTCAGTTATCATGTCGAATACTGTCAGATTTATGACTTCCCTTATATGTGTCTGGCCTGTTAGTTTGCTCAGGTTGTTTCATTGTCTGGGGAGGCCCATCCTGGCTTCCGCCTGAATCACAATGTGTAGCGGAGGTAGGTCTAGTAGTACTTCCATAGCTACTGTTGGTGTGCTTTTCATGCACTCTGTAATGCCCAGACAGGCAAATCTTTGCACCCTGCCAAGTCTCATTCTGGCTATGTCTTGTTGTGTCTTTGTCCACCATATCCAAGACGCATAGGTTATTGCTGGCTTTATAACCGCTGTGTATAGCCATCATGTCCGGCCGCAGCCCCCAGGTTTTTCCGAAAGTTCTCCTGGCTAGTATAAGTACCAGTTTTAATTACTTTCTCCAGATGTTTGTTTCGAGTTAATTTCCAGTCTATGATTACCCCAAGATATTATTTAACTTCGTCCGACATCGTAAATGGGTTTTCCTGAAGGTAAAGAGGTCCAAGTCTCTCCATTTTTCTTTTTTTTTGTAAAGCGGACAAGTGTCGATTCGGTGCCACTAATTTTCAACCCTAAAGTCTCTGTCCACCTAGAGACCATTGTTAGAGCCTGCTGGATGCGATCTCTGACTGTATGCTTGAATTTTCCCTGGGATATTATGACCAAGTCATCTGCATATCCGACTACCTGATAGTGTCAGCTCGTCCATCACCAGATTCCACAGCAGTGGTGATAACACTCCCCCTTGCGGACATCCCTTTGACTTTGCAACCCGAGCCGTTACTGTTTTACCGAGGAGCATGGAGTGGATGAATCTACCTCGAAGCATGCAGTCTATCCATCCGCAGCATTTTTCATACCTCGTCGGCGTAGAGCTCTCATGATTGCCTTGAAGGAAGTGTTGTCAAACGCTCCCGCTATACCAAGGAAGGCTCCCAACTTAACTTCCTCATTTTCCAACGTACTATCTACCCGCTAGACGAGGGGATGTAGTGCTGTTTCAGTTGAGGTTCCTCTACTTTGTAATAATATTGGTCCGGATGTATTGGTCTGGTAGCTGATACCACAAAGAATGATTGAAAGCTTTGGATACTGTTGCAAGTTTTAGGAAAATTATTCGTATTTGAGTCTTGCTATTCCGCTGCATGTATTAGTTTGAAGATAAACAATATAATATTTATTGAAAATGAAGAGGAAGTTAAGGCAAATTGGAGGATTAAAAATTTTGGTCCTGGTCGGACTTCGTCCTCAGCATTGCCGGTGCTACGCTCTAACCAACTAAGCCACCATGACCTTACAGATCTTTTCGATTTTTTAATTGGTGTTGTTAGAAAAAGTTGCGTGGTTTTCCGGTCATTGCCAAACTTCTCAATCCTCCAATAGAGCCACACATTTATGGTATCGGTCCTAACTCGAATAAGCTCCTTATTACTATGTAGGTTTCGTCCATGTGTGTTGAAACTTGGTGTATGCGATGCCCGCATAAGCAATGTTGAAAAGGATTGAAGTTTTGTCGGTTTCAACAACCGAAAAGCGTGGAAATTGAAAAAAATTAAGAGAAAGTTAAAGAAAATTGGTGGATGCCAAAATTTTCAAGATGACATGGCATCAGCAGCTAAGGGAGAAACTGGTTATCAGTCGTTATCATTCGTTATGGTTATCAAATCTTGTTGATTATTATTATTATAATTGTCATTATGGTTACTATCTTTACTATGTTTGATAGAGTTCTTGCATTGAGTAGTGGAGTTAATTATTATCCTATTCAACCAGGACCTTCCCTTACACTATTCTAGTTCCCTCTCCGGTTTTCCTCGCCCATTTTCCTATTCGATTTCCCTCGCCGATTTTCTTCACTCTAATTTATTTACCTTTGCTGGCAACAATCTCGAATGAAACACTTTCCTACTCGGTATGTAATATAATACTATTGTCTTGGAATGCGTTGTGTGTTAATTTATGAAGTGAGTTGTTAGTTTAATAATTTGTATTTTCACGTAACGGTGGATTATAGTTAAAGGACCCCGCACACCTCTTATGGGCTCCAGTGCATCAGAGTTTCGCGCTACTGAACTGTTCGTTTTTCTTGTCCCCTGCCCTCTCAAGTACCAGCAATTTTATGGGTGCATCAAAAACACGACGCTTGAAGTAGGGTGCGTTCCAGTGAAACAACAATTGTTTGGAGCACCAGAGTGTGTAGGTACGAAGCACCTTAAAATTTGTCACTGGAAAGCGGCTCTGAGCGTGAGGATACCTGTCCATCTTGGTAAATTATTAGGTGCCACTGATGAAAAGTTGATGTAAATGCATATAAAAAGTGTACATTTCTTGGACATTAAACTACCTACCTGTATCTCGCAAAATATTCATAGTATCGAGCTGAGCCTATGAGAACTTTTTATCAGGAGGTCAAGGTATACCGCATATCAATATTTCATTGAGTTTGGCAGAAAACCAAAAACCCGTAAGAGGTGTGCGGAGTCCTCTGCTTTCGATTAGAAACCTAATCAACCTTATCAGTCACATCACTGTGAATCACGTAGCCCGTGTATTAGATGTGTTCCAGTTTGCAGTGGGACAAGTATTATTATTATTATCCAATCCAACTGTGAGGCACAGGCTACGCGAATGATCTTGAATACGGTTAAAGGTTTTGTGTTCATCAAGAAAGTAACACCAGGTATTAACAATTGATATAAGCGTCAGACAAAGTTTCTGCCTCATATAAAAAGTGAATTAGGTGTTAGGACATGATAGTTATTTAATTGGCGATGTGGAAAACATTCAACTCCAAAGAGACCGTTTGAGGGTGTTTGTGAAGTGGAAAATATAAAACTTGTTGAATTAGAATAAAAAGGATACTTCTTCAACTGATTTTATGCTGCCTACCTGATGAAAAAACATTGTGCCTGTTTAACAAAGATTGCGTGATACGGAAAGTGTGAGTGTGCAAAATCTGCGTGTTGATTTGAGTACTTTGAGAACCTTTTACCAAAAATTAATATTTTCATAATGAGGATTTGGCAAGTAGCTGAGTAAGTATTATTTAATTTTTCTCTTGAATGTTCAGTGCAGAAATGTCCTTGAGTGCAATTCACAACTTAATAAAACGGCACATTTTTCATTTGTGATAAAAATGCAAGTTATTATTTACATTATTTGAAAACCAATAACAAATCAAAACGTAAACTGATGGAAATAAATAAACTCCTTGCAAAAAAAAAACTTTAAGACCCCCATAGACGCTCAGTTATTTTGCACAGGCCGACTGTGCAGGACGATTTGCGCAAACTTATTTGTACAGGGTGATCCAGTATAAAGTGAACACCCCTTACCTTTTCGCTAAAAAAATTTAAAAAAAAAATCAAGATAGCCATTTGGTGTATTTTGTTTCTAGGAATTTGAAAACGTTTTCCAAAATTTAATTAGATTTTTCATTAAAGCGCTGTGACCAAAAAAGTAATTTTTTTAAATGGAATAACCTATATTTAAACCAATTTTTTAAACGCCTCTATTTTTCTCATTTCAAATATATAGTTTGTTTATCTTTATTTTAGTAATTTGCGATATATTCTCACTCTAAAATTCACATAAAAATAGCGGAAAAGGTATGATAAAACATAATAACCAGTAATTTTATTAAAGGTAAAATTATTTAGATTTACCTTGGATACCTTTTCGGCTATTTTTATTTGAATCTTGAGTAAGAATATATCGCAAATTACTAAGATAAAGATAAATAAACTATATATATTTGAAATGAGAAAAATAAGGGCGTTTAGAAAATGGATTTAAATATAGATTATTCCATTTAAAAAAATTACTTTTGTCGTCACAGCGCTTTAACGGAAAATCTAATTTAATCTCGAAAAACGTTTTCAAATTCCTAGAAACAAAATACACCAAATGGCTATCTTGATTTTTTTTTTTTAATTTTTTAGCGAAAAGGTAGTTAACTTTATACTGGATCACCCTGTACCTGTGCCTCTCGCACACACGCTCAGGTTTTAGTACAGTTCAAACGTATTTTTTTTCTACAGTGAAAATGGCATCTTACAAAACACAGTCGGCCTGTGCAGAATAGCTGAGCGCCTGTGGAGGCCTTTAAATTTACCAGCTTTATTTACATTTATATCCTGACAGAGATAATACCTGTAAGATGTTTTCATACGTTGTTAACATTTTCCTCAATTTAAATTCTGCGATAACTCCGAAAATACTAACAAATGACCCATGGTTAATAGGACAGTTTTAGCTTGAAATGGGCCATATCATCTCATGTTAAAATATTTGTTCTCATACCTGATACACCCTGTAGTGATCAATAGAACAAGAGATCAACACATGCTCCATTGATTATCACACTATAAAAAAGTATCCGGCAAGCAGCAATTTGGAACTCACAGACAGATTGGAGATCGATGGGGTTTGTAGCAGAGGCGAACTACTAAGAACCTGCAGTAGATTGCGATTTACCAAGAAGTTAATGCCATATACCGCGAGGTATGTGATAAATATGCGTACCAACTCTCTTCGCTATCGTGTTACTTTTATCCTGGCTAAAAATTAGCAGGCTTCAAATGACTAGAAGTTGTGTGTCAAGTTTAAGCGGATAACTCTGCTAGCCTATGTTATAATCTCCAGGAAATTGAAAATGTTTACTTACACTGGGAATGTTGTCATTGTTGCAAACCCCTTCACTAAGCAATCTATCCCTAATCTCCCAAGCAAAGATAGAAGGACACTCTCGTTTAAAGTCAGCTATCTTATTTACGACTGGTTGAGTAGCGACTCGAGGTTTGGAGCCACCAATCGCTCTCGGTTTGATGGAGCCCGTTTCGTAGTATCTGAAACCGTCAAAACTATTATCAGAGCAATTAAGTCAAAAATATTCGCCGGAAAATTCTAGCAACATTTGATCTAGAAAATGGCAAATCACCGGCATTTTTAAACCAGCAACTGATTGCAAATAGTTGTGTTTGCTAATAATTACCTTCCCAGGATTTTCGACACGCATCCGTTGGATACTTGTAGAATGCGGGATATATCACAAGGGCGTGCTCCAGAATGAGCGAGCTCGACGATTTTTTGTCTGGTAGAGTCTGGGAGAGGTCGTCCGTTGACGTAGACGCCGCCGAGCTGGTTGATGCCGCTATGACCCGCCGAAGAACATCCGAAGATGTTCTGGCCCATAGAATGGTGCATAAGGTCTTCTTCTGGAAAAGATGGAATTTTAAATTGCCTATCAATTATATTTTGGAGTCAGTTAAAACTAGTGGCAGCTCATTAAGTGAGAAATAAAGATTTTGCCTCTTTTGGGAAAAAATAATTAGATATAAGAATAACTGTGGGGACAACTCACTAAACTGTGGAGACATTTGGTGGTTATAATAGGTATTTGCCATCACGCATTTGGATAGCGATTCTGATTCTGAAAAAATTAATAAAAAAAGAATACTTTAGTATAGGGCCTAGTTCATTGAATAAAAGATATTGAAGCAAAGCAAGTACGATATCAAAAAAGGTATAGTTATCAGAAATTAATAGGTAAACCTCAGTTGTCTCGAGCACATCGATGTTTCAACAGTAGAAGAATACAAGAGAGTTATTTCTTCTGAAAAAGTAATAAGCCTTCAAAGAACTGCGCCTACCAAACGCAAATGGTGTGATGAATCAGATTCACGTTATAATGATATTTTTTTCTGAAATAAATATAGATGAACCAATGAGATTCAAAAACAAGTAATTCAGAAGGAATATGAGAAAATCCAAAAAATAAATAAATCTTCTCGGTAAAATTCAGATAGAGAGGAAGAAATACCAATCAATACCAACATCATCTTCAGTAGATTAGGATTCTTGTTTATAGAAGAGGCATTTTGTTAAAACATTTTCATTCTCGCACCAAAAAAAAACGATTTGTAACAAAGAAATAATAAACTAAGGTATACCTGCCTGCCTGTCAAAAAAGGATAAGAAACTAGATAATTGGAGAAACTATAAATGATGCACAATAGTAAATGATGTTGAAGACAAACAACTGGTTTGGTTTGGAGATGTACAAAAGTATGGTAAATACAAGAATACCCAAGCAAATCATTGAGTGGTGGCCAGGGGGAAGAAGACGCGACCGACCGGGAAGAAGATGGGAAAGTGGGGTAGACGAGATCATCATCATCATAGAACTCGATTTTTAATTTCCTCTTAGCCCCGCCCCTATGTGAAAATAAAAGTTCGTGACGTAGTTAGTTTTTCCAATTTGGCATTACATCACGGTTTTGAGAACGCACAATTTGCACTGACATTGACCGTCAAGAACGAAACGTCAAATTTACTCCATCAAACAACGTACACAAGTTAGTGTGACAATGTCACATGTCACACGATTCACACGACACCACACGTCGTTGAACTGTTGAAGTCAGCTCTCATTTTGAGGCATTTTGAGCAGCGTTGCCAGATGGTCAGCGGCTTGAATATTATTGGTCGCCGCTGTGGTGCTAAATTCAAATTACAGTTTGTTCTTCTCTGACTAATTCTATAGACATTATGCTGGAAAATAATTTAGTATTCCACTATACCATCATCATGTAGCCTATAGAATAATGTCGAGCAGTTTTTTTACTGATTTTCATCATAGTATACTACCCCATTCTGGAGCCGCACACTCTTAGACAGTCTTGGCACACACAGCCTCTGGCAGCATTATCTCTTCCTCTTTTCTCTCGCTCCTTCTCCCTCCCAAGTAACATTTTAAATGCTTTTTGGCATTATCTAGGTTATATGAAAGCTTTAAGAATGTGAAATTAGAAGCTTACTATTTTAAAACTATTGTGTTTCATTGAAGAGCTGTAACAACATTGTAATCACCTAATATTACAGCCTTTTAGCATTAAAAACGCGAATAGTTTTAAAGTAGCCGAAATAATGCTGCAAACATTTCTAGCTTAAAACTATTTTACTTTAAGAAAGATCTGGAAACCGTTCTGCTTTATCTTAACCTACGAATAAGGAATTCAGCTGTCTGTATGAAGGTAGTGCAAAAGTAAAGCTTAAAACTGCAACAAAACCTAAGATCAATAAACCTTTTAGGCTTCAAAAAAAGATGTCTTTAAACTTCATACCTTTCTCCGATACCAGAGAGAATTTTTTAAACTTAATTGGGTTTAAGAAGGGGAGTAAAGAAGCTGCGTTAAATCTCAATTTTTTTAAAGTTCCTGAGATGTGATGTAGCACGTGATACAGTGGCTAAATAAACCTTTTACATACAGTGGCGACAATAGAGGTCCCGCCGCGATCTTGTTCCCAACCTCTTGTTACTTTCAAATATTAATATATAGGATTTAAAGAGACATCTATCATAAAAAATTGAGATCGACGTATTTGATGACCATTATTAGGTCCATCAAATACGTTGTTTTCCATGATTTATGATGGATGTTCACCTATATCCCATATATTCCTATTTAAAAGTAACAAGAACGTTGGGAACAAGATGGCGGCGTTTTCAATATAAATATATGGGATTTTAGAACCAATCAAAAATAAGACAGCAATTGTCGCCACTGTGGTAATAAAGTCACTGTAGCACGTGAAAGTGGCAAGCGACATCTACCGTTCAATAAAATTAGTATTTTGAAATCTTATTTTAACTTAACAAAAAGCTTGTTTGTGGTCTGTAAGGCCTTGTCTGTAAAGTAACGGTTTGATTCAGTCCACAACAAAAAACAGGTGGTAAGGGTGGTTTACTTATAAATGGCCTTTTCGGAAAGATAGAAAACAAACAGCTGGTGATAGGATTAATGAGAATAATCGGATCTGGATCAGCGTTTCCGAAAAAGCCTAGTGTTTTCAAAATTATATGCTATATCTAGCGAAGAAGATCCAAACCCTCTCAACGCACCAAGCAGGTTCCAAGATCACGAGAGGATTGAAAGGGTTTGAATCTTCTCCGCCAGATGGAAGCATAAAAATTTGAAAGCAGCCCTAACAACCTGTTTCAACAAATAACTTGGAGTTTTATGAAGGTTTTATAAAGCCGTTTTATCCACCAGAAGCTCTAGGAATCACACGCTTTAAAGCAAAATAGCTTTAAGAACAAATAATCCAAGGTTTGCAGGCCTATTTTTACGCAATTAAGATGTGTGGTATATAATGAAAAGAACTGTTAGCTTTATCACTATTTCGCCATGTTTGATTGTCATTTGAACGCGTTTGAATGGATTGTATTATGATTTTACAGCTTATTATAATTAATTCATCATATTTATGCTTCGAATATCCATAAAACGTGTAAAAAAAATGACACATTATAGGTTAGTATTTTTATATTTTTGTCAAAATTAGGATTTTTTCAAGGCCCACGAGTTATTTGAACCTTTGAAGTACACTTTCACTTGGGTTTGTATATAAATTTCAATGCAGAATCACGTCTACCTGCGAATTATATTTGTGTAATACCACTCATAGTTATCATAGATCGTCCATTACAGATGTAAGTTTAAATTATGTTTGTGGGAAATTATGGCGAAGTAGAAGAATTGATAAAGTTTGGTTAAGCCCCTAAAGTTTTAAGAATATAAATTTTGTTGTCATTTTTATTTGAAAATATTCCATTTGTACTTAATTTCTTCCTTTTGGCTTTTCAAGGCGGCCTAATAGTTTTATCATAGACTTGGAATAAGTTTTATGGACCCGGTCTGTATAGCTATGAAAGTTTGCCTTTGGAAACTGCAAAGCTTTAATAAGGTTTTATAAAAGGCTGGTAAAGCAATCTTAGGGGTGGGCCCTTGCAATCTTAAAAGAACTTTAAAAGGGTTCTTTAATGGTTGCTAAGGCAATATGGCTTTATAAAATATTTTTATTCCATTTTGACGTTTAAAACTGACATTATTGAACGCATAACAACAAAGGTAAGTAGACGTTTATCACAGTGATTTAAAGATTTTTTAACTCTCGGCATTTTTCCTTGTACTTTATTTTTTTAATTTCCACAAAATGGGATAAAATTTTGTATACATCACGTGAGTTAAAATGTTTATTGATTCGAAGAAAATTAACCCACTTGCTAGGGCTCGTGGGTTAAACTTTCTTCTCATGAATAAACATTCATTTAGCTCACTTGGTGTATAAATAACTATTATTCTAGGTTTTATAGTAACTCTTAATACTTATTTAAAGCTAAAAATTTTACTTCTCTTTCTTGGTCTCGTGTCTGATGCGTCGCTATTCTTCGAAAGGTTGTGGTCCGTGGAGGAATATTCGATGCGATTTCGTTTTTCCTCTTTCAGTTGACTTTAGAGAATCTATCGTGAAAGATGTGTTTCAGGCATCCGGACGATGTGACCTGTTCAGCGAAGTTGGTGCTTTATGATGAGGGCTTGCATGCTAGTTGTTTTCGACTCCTCTAAAACACTAATATTCGTACGTCGGTCTTGCCATTTAATCCGTGGGATGCTTCTCAGGCATCGCTGGTGTTATTTTTCTAAGGTTTTTATGTGTCTTCTGTAGGTGCGTCCATGTTTCGCAGCCATATGTAAGTGTTGGTATTACAACTGTAAACGCGAATTTTGGTCTCAGCGCTGATGTCGTGATTGTTGAAGACTCTCCCTAAGAAGTCGACAGAACGCTGCACACTTCAAGCGTTGTTGGATTTCAACGTCAATGGTTGCATTCGAAATGTATATTTTTGTTTGGTAGTTGGTAATTTGGGTTTACAGCCGTTAGTTCTCCGCCGAGCGACAAGAAATACTCGGTTCTTGACTGTGAATGTAATTTTGGCAAAACGTCGTCAAGAACCGAGTGTCTGTAGTTTAATCCGTAACGAAACTTGGTACCAGTTTGCCATGAATTGACTCTCAAATTTGCGAGGACGATACACCTAGTACGTACTGACTGGTGCATTGTAGGCCCTAAACAAGCCGACAGTAATATTTTTCGGATAAGTGCATACATCAGGCGCGCCTGACTGACATGGTAAAATGGGTGAAAGAACACCAAAACCCGTATTATTACATTTCGAACATTCTTTATTTCGGACAATCATGATTTCATATATCAAGATAATCTAGATTTTTAGAGGATTTCACACAGTACTTGATTCTTGAACACGCGTTTTCTATATCCGATAACCTTGTTAACATTAATGGGATCTATTGTGGCATTTGGTTATCGAAATATCCCGCTGATTGATCAAGTTGGAACGTTTGTCCTTTTG